GAAGAATAGCCTATTAGCATGAGCTCGGTAGCGTCAGCGCCCCGTGGGCAGGAGCGATTCCATGCGAACGAAAGGGAAAAAGTGAGAGTTTGGAGAGCAGGGGAGAAGGAGAGGGGTGGGGGTGGCGGTGACGCAGGGGCGCAGGCATTGACGCACCCGCGGGGCTGGGCCCAAAATAGCAGCGCTCTAGCTCGGTGGCGCCCTCCCGGGTTCCCTTCCTCTTCCGCGAGGGAGCAGGGCGCTGCCAGGAGGAGCTTTCCTTGATCCCAGCGGTGGGCCAGGCTCCCGGCAGCTATTTTCAGGCAGTCGGAAACAAGCGCAGCCACGCTGGGGTGGCGGTTATCATTTTTTAATATACTCTTCGGAAAGCGGGGGCCAGGAGAACTGTAAGGTTGTAACTATCACCCTCCATACACAAATACGCCCATCTAAGTAGATACATTCCCTGCACAAGTTCCTCCTCCTTTATGGCCCTTAAAAACACTTGACTTTAGCCTGGGTTGAGTCTGCGGACAACCTGAGAATTCTCTCTCAGAGAGTGGAAAGTGTTCTGGAGTTCTTACAGTGAGCTCTGAAGAAGACAAACATTGTAGTGTGGTGCGTCATTCTACAACAGCAACCTGTGGAGTCGGGCTTGACAGAGCCCTTACCCAAGTCTTAATGCACCCGACTGAGAGGCAGTTTTCACAGCAGCTATTACAATTATTATTAGTAACTGGAAATGGAGGGGTTAGATAGAACATTAAAAAGAGAGAAAAGGTAGACTTTTCCCCTTGCATCCTACAACTTGTATGAGTTCTCTCTCTTCTTCAAATTCCTATTCTAGTTCCTGGGAAGTGTTACTTCTTAGGAAGACACACTGGACGCAAGACTGATAAACTCATTTAAACCAATTACTGGATAAGCTACTTCCTGGGTTAGCATTTTTGGTAGGGCTCAGATGTGCTCCGGGTGGGAAGCACACAACACAGGCATCATAAAGTGTAAAAAAAGGACCCCGCTCAGAACTCCAGACTCCTGTGTCTCCCCCACCAGATTGTGATGGAACGAAGTCTCAGTAGAACCGCCAATGTCTGTAATTGACTGATGCTGTCAGTAGGGGGCCTGACTCCACAACGTTCAGGAGGTTCACACACACACACACACACACACACACACTCTCTCTCTCTCTCTCTCTCTCTCTCTCACTCACTCACCAGCTAGCTATTCACTACTTAGGCCAAACCCTAGGAGAGCAAGCTGCAGGCCCAAATATTCACACTGTGCTGGAATTCATAAGTAACTACAAGTCTTTTATTCTTTTCTATTTTTCTTAAAAGGGGAAACAGCCTAACACATGGAATTAGGTTCACAATAGATTTTCTTTTTTCCTCCTGCCCCCGTTTAACTCACTGTTAGGTCACAGGGGGGAAAATCAAAATAGTAATAGAATCTCTCATTTTATCACCAAGTAGCTCAAATTGGCATATAGTTTGGAAAAATGAAAGCATGTTTTAAAATCCTATGATTACATGTTTAAATAAATTATAGTTTAGAAGAGGATTCCTGTGGGTGTATTTGCTAGTACATAAGAGAATGCTTTTGTGCACAGAGGTTTAATTACACATATAATGGAATCAAAATGTAGAATTGAACAACCTTTTAGAAAATGTTAAAAGGATGCTTTAGGCTAAAAGAAACTGAAATTTTGCATTTATATGACTACAACCCTTCAAGATTCCTTTTTAAACAGATTCTAGAATATAAACTACTTTGTAACTCAATTAAAATGACACTAGTTTTTTTCAGGGCCCAGATTCTGGATACAACTTTAAATTATTGCCATGTATAAATGTGTAAAGTTATCCCCAATGAAGTTCTCTTTTCTTAAGAAGTTCAAATAAATAGGAGTAAAAATTGGTCTTATACATAAAGAGCTCCTTCTTTTGAAACCAACTAAATTAAGTGACAAAATTAATTCTATCAATATATGCTATTAGATGACCTCAGAAAAGCATTTAGAAAAGTTGTGTTACTACATTGTCTTTTATGATGTTAACCAATATTAAACAGAATGCATTGACACATATGTAAAAAATATTTTTATAAAAAATCAATATAAATAATACGCTCACATCTAAACCAAAGTATTTTATTTTATGCATGGCTAGACAGATTGTACTTAATAAAATTGAGCTTTTGGTATAATTTAGAAAACAAACATGGATGTAATTCCATAGGATTTTCTATCTTAATGCATGGGAAAGGGGTCTTTAGGGATTTATTTCACGATTCTCCCAAAATGAACTCAGAGTAGCCCTTCAAATTCAGCTATAGTGAATAGACATAACTGTCTTATTGCAAGAGTTGAGGTAATTTTAAGATATTTCCTAACAAAACTACTTAATGGAAACTATCTTAAACATTAAAATGAGATACATATTTTAAGTTATACTTGGATAAATTTACATTCATGGCATTTGTTGCTATCAGCAGGAAATTTTACATTAGTGATAGAAATTTTCACTTTGAAAAAAAAACTCAGTTATAGAACTACAAAATCAGTTCTTAATGTTGAAGGTTTTTGGTTTTTTTCCTTTTGCCATTTCATTTGCATTAATAGAATATTAATTAACCAATCATTTCTTCCTTTACTATAAGATGCTTACAAAACAAGTCCATTGCTTACCTGAGATTCACATTTTGGGTAGCTGTGGCTTTTACTCAGTTTTATTCAGCCCATTTTTTTAACCAAAAAACACTAAATGCAAAATTATTTCTTACTTCAATTCAGAACTCAGTTCTAGAAATGTGTAAAGATGTGCAGAAAACAGCACTCTTTTTTTTTCTAGAAGCATCTACTTGCAAATTAAAATTATAAAACCGAACATATGGTAAAGCCTCATGCCACTCAAAAAGTATTTTGCATAATAAAAATCCTTCATCTTCTTTCTAATGCTTGACTCTCAGTAACCATCTCCTAAACATTAGCTTTTAAACTAACCACTTATTATTTTCTTCTTGTGTGTGTGGTAAAATACACATAACATAAAATATACCATCTTAACCATTTTTAAGTATACTGCTCAGTGATGGTAAAAACATTAACATTGTTGTGTACCCACCACCACTATCCATCTCCATAACTCTTCATCTTATAAAACTGAAACTCTATACCCATTAGACAATAACTGTCCATTCTCCCCTTCTTACAGCCTCTAGCAATCACCAATATTTT